TATATATATATATATATATATATATATATATATATATATATATATATATATATATTACCTTGGAAACTTGTTGAAGAACAATTGAAGTTAGGTTTAGTCCAAATGCATCCACCAATTGCCCAAACATGAGAGGGGCAATAATATGGCATAGTCCATTGCCAAAAGCACCTATTGTTCCCAAAAACATCAATATTTTGTCAATATTATCAGCAAATGAAAAGAGTTTGTAAAGTGAAATAGTTTTAGTTTTCTTAATTTCATTTGATTTTTCTGACATTTTTTCACTAAATATTGAAGAGGACCCTTCAAAACTATTGTTGTTATTAGTCACTTTTTTGGTCCTCTTGAGAAATTAATTGTTGATCTAACAAGTAATAGATATATTTGTAGAGGGGATTTAATCTATTAAAATGGAATAATTAAATAAGAACCTAGATGCTTTGCACGTTTTGAGATTTTTTTCTTCAAGGATAAATAAAAGATCAATTAGTTGGCTAATGAATCACAAAATATATATGGCAGCTGTGAAGTTCTTTAGTTTATTAATTGATCAACAATTAGTTTGGTTACAACTGATATTTTATATGTTTTTATAACTTTTATCGAGCATATAAATATTAGACATTTAAATTTGTGTAAATTTAAATTAATGAGATTAATTTTAGGGAATGATAATCCAAAGTTTCAATTATGTTTGTAAGATTAGTTTCTCTCTTATCTATTTAATAGGAGAAAATGAAAAGGTAAGAAACTTAAAATGTTATTAATAACAAATTACAATAAAAGAAGTTCTATCAAAGTTAATTTTATTAGCCACAAATTTACATATATTCTCATACGATTTCACTACTAACTTAAATAATACAAATTTTATATGTTTAATTAAAACAACAACAATGTAGTGTATTCTTATAAAGTGATACCGGGTGTGCTCAATTAGAATATATCATTAAAAATATTCAATACTAAAAAAAAATTTATTCATTTATTTTTTGATTGATTACTAATATAATAGACCATATCATATATTTTTAGGGACAAAAATATTCAATAGATATTAAAAAAGTGTACCATAGATAATATACCTTTAATTCAACCATGGAAAAATCTAAAATATTATATATATGGAATAATCATTTTTTTGTTCAAAAATGAAGAAATAAAATAAAAGAGAACAAAATAATATTAGTTAAAATCAAAATAGTACAACAATGAATCTTCAAAATGTTTGAAAATCAATTAAACTTTTATACTACGGCAACTCTCTATGCATGAATCTCCGAGATAATTAAGTTTCTTTCTTCATTTTGTTGAACTTGTACCAAATAATGTGATGAATCTTTCAAGAATATACCAATGATCTTCATCAAAGTGAAGATCATATCGTGACATCATCTTTTCTAATATCTTCTTTTTTGATTACTTAATTACATGATTGATGAAGGAAACGATGAAGAAAATAAAATTAAAAGATTATACTACTAAGAAGATGAAATAAAAAATGGAAATGAACATGCAACATCTCCATAGATGATTGGTATTTATAGATAAAATAAGTCATAAAAATGGTTAAAAGGGAATCGAAAAGACATGCTAATTAAGTAGATAATATCAATAGATGAAGTTTTTTTGTAACTCGTTTCATATTATTACAATATTAAATATGATTGAATTTTATAATTAATAAAAAAATATTTTATGAAAAGATTTTTTTAAAAAAAGACAAAAAAAAAAAGAAGAAGAAACAAATGGAAAAATTTAATACTAAAAATAAGATTTATTCATTTATTTTGTGATTGATTACTAATATGATATACCACATCATATATTATAAGGGGCAACAATATCCAGTATATATAAAAAGAAATGTACCATAAGTAGTATAGTTTTAATTCAATCATGGCAAAATTTAAAATATTAATTAGCTATAAATTGAGGTATATATAAATAATAAAAAAATGTGCATCTTTTCATCTTCAACGACAACAACAATGAACAAAATATTCATTTTTTTTGTTCAAATCAAAGAAATAAAATAAAAGAGAATAGAATAATATTAATTGGAATCAAAATAATACAATAATGAATTTTCAAAATGTTTGGAAATCATTCAAACTTTTATACTACTATGACTCTATCTTCCGGAATCTCCAAGATAATTATGCTTCCTTCTTCATTTTGTTGAACTTATACCAAATAATGTGATGAATCTTTGAAGAATATATCTATGATCTTCATCAAAGTGAAAGTCATATTGTGACATCATCTTTTTTATGTCTTCTTTTTATTATGTACATGATTGATGAATAAAAAGACAAAGAAAAGAAAATTAAAAACCTATACTACTAAAAAGAAAGAATGAAAAAATGAAAATGGACATTCAACATCTGTATAGATGATAGGTATTTATAGATTGGATAAGCCATAAAAATAGTTAGAAAGAAATTGAAAAGACATGTTATTTAAGTGAGAATATCAATAGATGGAGGTTTTTTTGTAACTTATTATATATGATTAAATTAATAAATATATTTAAATTCTTTTAATTAATAAACAAATTATTTCATGAAAAGAAAGAAAAGAAAATATCAAAAAAGAGAGAAAAACAGGAATGGAGGCCATAGAGAGGTGCCACATCACCTTGTCTATGGTCCTCATTTATATATATATATTGATTAATATAAATATTATGATAATATATACATTTTACTAGTTCATTAATTAGTATTCCTCAAGTAATGTGCAAAGTCCATCGTAGATAAGTAAAATTGAACGAAGGAATATTTGATATTTACTTTCTCTATCTCATTTCATGTGATATAATTATTAATTTTTAATTATGTGCATCATATTAGTTAGTTTTGTGCCTGTTATAGTATTTGCCAGTTTATATTTTATTTTATTAGTTAGTTATGTGTCTGTTATAGTGTTTGACAGTGTATATTGTATTATATTAGTCAGTTATGTGCTGTTAACAGAAGTATGAGAAAGTATTTATGTAATATTTTTTCTTCATCTCCATTTGGGTGTTTACTTCAGCAAGAGAATTTTTGAAATAAATTTAAAAGTTATTTTTCTGCTCAATTTAATTTAATTAGTATATAGTTTTTTTGAAATTATATGACATGCTTTAGCTATCTTTAATGATATATATATATATATATATATATATATTTCGTAACAAAGTTAATGGACGCTCGAGCACTTGGCTGACTCCATGTGGGTCCGTCCCTGTATGTTATACTTGTGTGAACCTCCTATGTATTCCGAGTGAATTGTTTAAGGTTGTTTTTCTCTATATTTTGTACTCTCATTGATATAGTAAATTGTTCATTTCCTTTGTTGGGCTTACATCAATTGACTGAATCACGTTAAATTTTTGTGTCTTTTGGTATATTTCTCCTCTGTCTTCTTACTCGTGGTCTTTCGAAGCTTGCTTTGCTAGCTTTTACATAACATCGAATTTTTTCGGTCCTAACAAATGATATTAGATCCAGATTCAATGACTAAGCGAGGTTCAATAGTCGATTGTTCAATGATGAAGCCAGGTTAAAAATTGGGTGTTCATCTTGGCCGATATAGTTCTAGTCGTAACCTATTTGACAGTAATAAATGTTTTTATTGGAGAAACTTTTTCGTAGAAGTTTTCTGTGTTGAGACATGAATTTGATGGAGGAGATTATGGATAAAGGGGGAGATAGATTAATAATTACACATATAATATTTAGGGTTACAATATAAGATACTAGTAATTCAATATCACCTTAATATTTAGGTCCAAATTACTGCCATCATATTTCACTAAATTTTAGGCATTAAATTTTACATTATAACTATAAATATCACATATTATTTGCACTCTCATGGAAAAAAAACTAGCAAAACTAAGACATGAGTCGAATTGTTGGTCCAACGGCCTCGATGCGATTTGTGTTTAGTGGTAGTACTTTAGAGTTTAAAGTTAGTTTCATAGGAATTTTCATCATGAACATTTAGTTTGGATTTTATGTTTGGACATCTATTGATAGTATTGTGTTTTAATGTTTTACTCATCAATATATTGGATAGGATATTTAAGAGATTCAATATTAGTTTTTTTTCCTTATATGAAATTTTATGTTTTAAACATGCAAATATAACTTTGATTATGGTATTAAGTAGTTATGAAATAAGTTATAACTGAATAGTCAAATCGACAAGAGAAAATCCGAACCGAATCAGTTTTTTTATTCAGATTGGGTTATACTTTTTGAAAACCAGAAATAGTATAACCCAAATCGAATAACACAAAATTGAATCGAAAAATCGAATGCACACTCCTAATCAAACGGACTAGGTGGGAAACCAATAAAACATAAAAAATTAAGCCTCCAAGATAAGTTTTTTTTTGTTTCCTATCCGATGTTCAGAGCTCCAGCTTAATGTAGATCACACTCTATTAGACTCATTCAGACTCGAACTCAAGACCTCTCGTTAACGGTAATATTCCACCACTACACCACAATCATAAATTAATTTTCACTATGTATAAACATAGGAGTAGTGGTGGATTGATGTTATCATGGACCACTTATTATGCTTAAAAATTCATATTTGTCAATTCAATTCTTTGGTGCACGAAATTCGATACTTACACCAAATCGAAGAACTCAACTTTTGATATAAAAAAAATACAAACACTGAACCAAAAAGTCTAAAAACTAAATTAGTTTGATTCGATTCGATTTTTCAATATTTACGCCCTACATAGGACCATATCAATTATCAAGAAATATTTCTAATTTTTGCCAAAAGAACTACTCAAAATTTGTATAATTTTTTTTTTCAATATATTTAAAACTTAAATTATGTTGTCAAAGATATGAAACGAGATCTTAGGATCCTATTAATTAGGACTTAATTATAGTGTCCAATTAAAATTCTGCAACGTGGAGGAAGATAGAAATTATTTAATAATTTTATTTTATCCCAATTTTTGAATTATTATTTTTCATTTACAACAGAAAAATTACATCTTTATGGACTCCCAATTTATTAGTATAAGATATTATTGAAATTGATTAAGAAAAAATGAATAAGACATAGGCATAATCAAGCCTAACCCTTCACATTAAGGGTTCACAACTTTGTAGTCCAATTACAATATAAATATAAAATAAGTAATTATAAAAATAAAAAAAATAAAAAGAATATTCTATTCTTTTAAATTTTTTATACATATTTAGATTAGTTCCTGAATAAAAATTCGAATATTTTCAAAGACCATATAATTTACTAAGTTGATAATTTATTGATTTATTCTTAATTATAAAAAATATAAGTGATGATTCGAGTTTCGTTTTAGTTCCATAAATGGTAAAGAATGTCCTATTTAAAAAATAAAGTATGTGTCCACACGACTAATATTACATGAAGTCAACTCTTTTTGCACATTGATCATATAATTAATTAATTAACTAATTAATGAAAAACATTACATGTAAATACTTTATTAAAATTTGCATCATTGATGTGGATATGATATGATTTATTTGCCCTAGTTATTATTTTAGAATTTTAAAAACAATTATTTAGATCATTTTTAAAACTATATTTAATTGTTAACTGTTATAATCTATAGAATCTTTATGAAATTTGTAAATATACACATTTTAATTGTATCAAAATTATATCTATGAATAACTTGTCAAAGTTTGATCTTTCATTAATTGATACTTCTGTTTTTATTTTTTTATTTTTTTACTTGATACATTTATTAAGAAAATAATATTTTTTTGTTGACTTTTAATTGTTATGTTGCATTTTTTTGAAAATAGATTTGAATAATTTTTAACGTTAAATTAGATTATATTAATTTCAATTTTTTTTAAAAAATAGATATTCAAAAACTATATAAAAAAATACTATAAATTTCATTTTTTTGCATATCAATATGGTAAAAAAAATACATCATAAAATGTTAGTCAAAATTATTATCATTTGACTTAAAAAAGGGAAATTATAAAAAAAAAATTGGACAGAGGTAAAAAATAATATAATAAGTTTATTATTTTACCTTATATTAATAGATAGAATATCAAAACAAATTTATTCATTAAAGATGTTATACCTCTTTGAAAAATATTAACTTTTAAAATAAATTAAAAATATAACAGATAAATATATTGTATTTTCTTATTTTGTAATAAAACGTCAAAATTAGACAACTTTAACCCCAAAAAAAAAAGGAATAAAAATTCCTGCATGTAAAGTCAACGCTTCTTGCACATGTCAAATAATTAATTAATAGATTAACCAAATTAAATGATAATAATCTCATTAAAAATTAGCATCATTATAGTTATAATGTGGATATGATTTGATCTTCCTATACCAACGAGTCAATTATTTTAAATTATTTATAAATAAAACAAAGTTGTGCGCACTTTCTTAATTCATTTATTTTTTATTCGACGTTTGATATTTATATTAAATTAACTAATTTAGAATTGAACAGCATAGGATCCAATAAGGGAAGGAATCCATTTCAAAGATTTTTTCAATTTATATATTCTAATTATTAGTTGAAGGGTTTAAAAATAATTATTTTTTTATCACGACCTTTTCTAATATTTTTTAAATCTTTTCAATTGTCATCTATTGTGATTTATAGGATTTTAATATAGTTTCTTAATAATGTGAATTTTCTTTTAAGTTTTAAATATACAATTACAAATTCTAGGTGTCTTGGTCCGGTCGTCAAAAGATAGGGGCGCGAACAACCTTAAAGTACTGTTTCATGTCCCAGAGGTCTTCGAGCCCTGACATTTTGAATCCCGTTGAATGGCTGTGATTTTGGGACTCAAGTCTAGAGTCGCCAGGTGAGACATTCGGTTCACGAACCAAAACCTATCTCCACATCGAATATTAGTTGGTTTGAATCCCATACCCCCAATTAAGTAACATAATTTTTTAGGGAAAACTACATAAATTGGACCTCTTAGGCAAAGTATTTACCCAAATTGGATAGAATCAGTGTTTTAAAAGACGACAGCATGAGGCGAAACTTTTTATACCGTATGGAGCAACGCGTAAGCCTCGTGGATCTACGGAGCATACTGGCGTAGTCTCATGCATATTCAATTTATAGTTTTATTACTAATAATAAGCAACACTAAACCTTTCAATGATTTTACAAATATTTTTTTATGAATAACCTATAAACATATAGAAATTATAGTATGATTTGAAATAAGTATTAATAATCAATAATGAAGAAAATAAGTATAATAAATACTATTTGAGAAGTATCATTACGCGAATAATTAAATGATTTAAAGCAAAAAATATTTAAAAAATAAATTAATGATTAGGATTTACGTTTTAATGCTCAGGACTTATGCCTCAAATTTTAGGATTTACGCCTAGTGAATCTACGTCCCGGAGTGTTTTTTGTACATCCCGCCCCAAGACTCGACTGGACTCACCCCAAAAACGTTTTCTGAAAACACTAGACCCAACCCAATATATTTAATGTAAGTTTACATAAATCACATAGGAGTCATTTGGTTTGGAACAAGTTATCTTGGGATTAGCTATCACAGAAAAACTTATCCCATCAGGTACATGGTTAACTTATCTTATCTATATGGTATAAATGCTGAGATAAGTTATCCCAAACATAGCAACCAAACAAGAAACAAAATTTGTATATGATCACTATTTTCTTATTCCATCACTACTTATTTGTATCCTCAGACCATGCAACCTCATAGTGTTAAGTGCTAATTACAGTAGTTCCCTACTATTTATCCAAATTACAAGAATCTCTTAAAATTTATTTATGGAATGTGGATACATCATTGGAGTTTTGAATGCAAAATTGGACTTCTGGATACATTAGTAGATATCCAAATACACCGGAGAGGGATGAATTTAAGAGGGTAGGACTGTATCCGAGAGGGGATATGATATTCACATACATAGGATAGAAATGTATCCGAGAGAGGAGGGATGTATTCGTGAGGGAATGGATGTATTAGAGAGGGGAGAAATGTATCTGTGAGGCAAGTAGGGATGTATCAGTGAGAGAAAAGTGATGCATCCGGGAGGAAATTTTTTAAAAATTAAATGGTAAAGAACTTTAGAGATAACGGTAAAATAAGATATGTATTTAGGTAATTTTTTTAATATTTATCTTGATTGAACTCCCGGCCTAAACTATTTATCCGGCTACCCATTTGTTCTATTCACTAATTGACTGCTTCTACATCTATTATATACTATGGTGGCATCTAGCAGTAATTGAGCAGTCTTTTCACTAAAACATCGTGTGTTCTTCTTTGTAGAGACGGAATAAATGTACTAATCACTTTGATAGAGGTTGATATATCAAAATAGTTAAAAGGAAAAGAAATCAAGGGAATCAAATTCCTAATAATATTACATAAAAAAATAATCTTTAGTAGTAATAGTTTAATTGCCACTAAGTATATATTTTTTGCGGTAATTAGCACTCTTTGTAAATATCTATATAAAATAAGTATTTTGAGTTTTATATAATTCTAAAAATATGACAAATAAAAAAACTAAAAATATATCAGAATATGATGGAAAATGAATTGGTGGTTAACAAGGAATTAATAATGATAAATAAAATGTACTTGTTAAATTAATTTTGAAGTTTTAAAGATACGGAATATTGTGTGTGCAATTATTTTGGTGTTAATATTAAATATTTATTTCTTTGGGGAAAAATGTCAAAGTCATGTGAATTAATTGATTTCTTAGAAACATTCAAAATATTTTAAGAATTATAATTTTGTTTCAAGCTAAGGTTAATAACATTAATTTCATACAACAATTAACATTAATAATTATGTCTAATGAAAAATTGGTCAGCAAACTTAGGTCATAGGTGCATAAAAACCATTTTATTAATTAATTGCAAACCATAACAAAATACACACATCAATGAAATGACATAATAGAAGAAAAATAAAGAACATGATAAATTTGAATGAAGTAAAAGTAATATTAATATTGTAAAATTCAAAAATTCAATCCCAAATTAAAGATTGAAGTTTTTCCTTAGTTATGTTGTCAATTGATTTTGCCACATCTTCACTCAAAAGATTCTTCCAATCTCCGATCTCTCCTTTACGAAAAAAAGCATTATTATTAACTTTTATCCCAGGTTTTGGATTATGCGATCCACTCTTATTCACCTCTAAATTACTCAAATTTCCAAATTCACAAGTTGCCACTATTTTTTCAGGTACAAATTGATCCTCTTCCTCTTGAGAAAATGGTTTTCCCATAAACTCAGCCAATTTCTTCACATAACTCAGCGTATCATTCCTCAAGTCCTCGAATTTCAAAAAGAAAATCTCGTTCTTTCCATGACGATCCTTACTTGCTTTTAGATATTCAGACACGTGATCCCAATAAGGTCCATACAAGGATTTTCCTTCAAGAAACCACTCGATTTCTTGTTCGAGTGTGATAGGATTATCTTTGAATTCAGGGATGGTTTCTTCAAGCTTTTTAGTGTAATGCCATGTTGAAACAAATGTGTCTTTTGGTTCTCTACATATATAAATGATCTTACACTTCGAATCTATTATAGATTGTGGCAAACAAGTGTATGGAAGATGTGTGCCTAATAATGGGAACTTAGTGTCATCAAGAGAAGTAAAATTGATGTCACAATCAATTTCTAATGTTGGTATACAATCATGAGGAAGTTTTGTGAGTATAGGGTTGGTAGAGTCATCAAAATGATGTCTTGTCATAATAGAAAAGACCAAAGATTTAAGCCAAGTAGTGCCTGTTTTGAGAGAACCACAAAGAAAAATATTACAAGGTTGTGCTTTGAAATTTTCTTCCATAAATAAAATTGATTCTAAAAAGGCTAAAGGGAACCAAAAGCCTTTGTATTGATAGTAATCAAAAGAAGTAAAATTTTGAGAAACTTCTCTTCTAGGAAGGGATGAAATTATCTCTTTGTATTTCATGTTTATCGACATATTTTTGTTTTTTTCTTTCTTCTTTGGTGAAGGGGGGGAATGCAAGAAAATCAAAAATTGATAATTGATAAGAAAACAACTCCAAATTTTGGTACATATATAGGAAAAATAATTCCCTTTTTAGGATTATATTTAGAGGTAATAACCAAAAAAGGGAATATATGAACATGTGAAAAGATGAGATGGAATAGGCAATTGAAACAAGTTGGTGAGGTTTCGAATTTTTGTTACGAGGCCAAAAACACTTATTTTGAGTAAAAAATATATTTATTTTGGAAAAAAAATTGTGTGTTTAGATCGGTAAAATTGTTTATAGATAAAAGTAGAATAAGTTTTTCTATTGTTGGAATGGAGCTACAAGATTTTGTTTTTTTAAAATAGCAGAAAATTATTTATTACAAGATCAAAGTATCACTGCAAATATATATATATATATATATATATATATATATATATATATATATTTATATTTGTGATAAGTTTTTTGTATGTTGTGATTTGATTGATGAAATGATTTTGAAAGTTATGTTGCTTGATATTTTTAATTATATTTAAATCGTCATGTTAATATTATATCTATATTTAATTTATTTTCTTATTTATTTATGTATAATATTGATTAAAATTTGAATATGTACATTTACATTTAATTAAAAAAATTATAATAAATATTTATAATAATATTTATATTAAAAGTGCATTAACATTCGTCTTTTTGTAATTTGATTCTCAAATGTATTTTTTTAAAACAAATTACTCAAACACATTAGTTTATCAAAAACACTTTTCAAAAGAATTAATTAAACATAAGTTATTTTTTAAAAATAATTATAAAAATAAGCAATTTTTAGAAGTAATACTACACACTCTTATTCTTATCAAATTAATATATACAATCAAGCATTTACACTTCTCTATTGTCACGACCCAGACCGTCAAGAGTGACATTCACACTAACGCTACAGTGGAAGAACCATTACTACAACCTACCTAACGAATTTAACCAAAAAAACTAGACATTTAAAGATATAAAAGCAAATTTAACTGACAGTATAGTAAATACAGAGTCCCTTAAACTCAAAAGGTTTAACAACTAATAACAAATGTGGAAATACCCCTAAAACATGAAAGTCAATGTTCCAAAACTCTACTAACGGTAAGTCTAAGAACAAGGGGTACAACTCCAAAACTAAATAAACAAATAGTCTAAGTCCAAAGAGAGTGAAATTAAAGAAGAGAGAGCCATGGAAGCCTGGAAGAAGTGACTCACTCTTGAATCTAGTCACGCTCAATAATCACATAACTGAGGTCTTAACGTCTTAGCTATCCATTCATGTGGTCAAATTCATAATTAGATTTCTTATTCATTATCGGATTTCCCTAGACCTCACTAACTCCAATTTCGTCCAAATCTAAATTAGGTAGAAAAATATCAAGTTACTACCAAAAAAATTTCTGATCCCAAATGTTTCCCAATGACTTTTTCCTAATGAAGAAATCAGATCGTCACATCTATCAACTTTGGAATTGTATTTATTTATATTTATTCTCATACTCTATCAACTTTGGAATAATATATATATATATATATATTATTTATTTACATGGAACTTGAGTGGTGGAATTGTTTAGTTTAAATCATGCATCTCATTATCATGTCCAACAATGTTACTCTATCTTACTGGCAATGAAAGTTTTATCTATATATATTCTTTAAATCATGATTTAGATAAGATCACCAACATGCATGATCATATTTTCACTTATTTTTTTTTAATTCAAAACTGGTTGGAATTTCTTTTAGTGCGCGATTTGATAACATTACATTAAAAATAATTAATCATGTGTCTAACGATACATAAAAATATTCAAGTCAACTATTACCAATTCCGTTCTTATAAAAATAAACCAATAGATAATTGAAGAGGGATCAATCAAACCACCTATATTGAAATGATATTTTACTAAGACCATGGAGTTTCGATATTGATAGTAGGACAATAAAATTAAAAGGGCTCAAATAGAGTGAGTGTCACACGCAACTTTATTGATGAGAAGTGCTTCAAAAATGATCTATTTACAAAGGTATATAGTATTTTTGTGGACGCTTGCAAAGTTAAAGTGTCTTTTTAAGAATTAGGAACAACTTCTATGATGACTTTATGTCTTTATATATATATATATATATATATATATATATATATATATATATATATATTGATTGAAATCTTAGTTTTTTTTAATTCTAAACTGGTTGGGATTTCTTGTAGTGCTCTACATATCATCTTCAATTTGATAACATTACACTAAAAATAGTTAATCATGTGCCTAACGATACGGAAAAAATATTCAAAGTCAACTATTACTAATTCAAGTCTAATAAAAATAAACTAATAGATAATTGAAGAGCGCTAAAAAGTTGATGGAGAGGAGTCGGATCTATTAATATCCCTCCTAATAGGTAAGTCAACCCTTCTAATAATACATAAAAGTTAGGGTAAATATAAAAGTACTCCAAGATATAACACGACTTTCGAGATTATAATTCAAATTGATTAGTTGTAAGGTGGAATTATCCATGTGCATTCCTTTGTGAGACTTAAATTGCAATTTCATATATTCTTTTTAGGCTCATATGTCCTAATTATTAGTTGAATAGTTTAGTAATAATTATTTTTTGAATCACAATCTTTTTTAAATGTTGTAAGTTATTGACCATTATGATTTATAGAATCTTTATGATATGAGTTGTATTTTAAATATAAAAATAAAAAAAACTATATTGAAATATTAGTTGATTTGATGTTGTAACCTAAATCAAAATACATAAATTGACATGATATTTTACTAAGACTACTATATAAATGTGAATGTGCAATTCAAATTTTAAAAACATAGAACTAAAAATGGCCTCATCAACAATTCTTTCAAGAAAATTCATTAAGCCTTCTCCCCCCACCCCTTCTTCACATAGACATTACAATCTCTCATTTAGAGATCAAACAGCTAATAATCTATATTTACCAATTGCTGCCTTGTACTCTAAACCTGAAAATCACACCATAACTCAAATATCCAATATTCTTGAAAATTCCCTTTCAAAAATATTATTCTTTTATTATCCCTTCGGGGGACGTATCAAGGATAATAAGTATGTTGATTGCAATGATATAGGCGCTGAGTATTTTAATGTTCATATCAATTGTCAAATGTCTGAAATACTTAGCAATCCGTATAATGATGCTATTGAGATAGTGTTCCCACAAAATTTGGCTTGGGGTAATTCCTTATCAGAAGAAAGAAGTAGCCTTCTAGTGGTCCAATTGAGCCATTTTGATTGTGGTGGAGTGGGAATAAGTATATGTCTATCCCACAAGGTTGCTGATGGGTATAGCGGGTGTAAGTTCCTTAGTGATTGGGTTTCTATGGCTAGAGACGATCATAAATTAAATTTCCAACTATCTTGTCAGTTTGATGGAGCTTCCTTCTTTCCACCAATAGATAATCCTCCACCTATGCCTAATGTTGTGCCTGATCCAGAACGATGTGTGTCAAGAATGTACAATTTGTCATCATCTACCTTACTCAAACTCAAGGATATTGTTGTTTCAACAAATCCACAAATACAAAATCCATCTCGCATTGAAGTTGCCACAGCACTTTTTCATAAGTGTGGGGTTGATGTGTCAATGGCAAAATCAGGCGTGTTTAGACGAACTGTGTTATTCCATGTAATGAATTTACGCCCTCCTATTCCATTCAACACAATAGGAAATGCTACTTGTTACTTTAGCACAAGAGCAATGAGTATAGATAAAACAACGTTACCAAACTATGTTGGTGAGTTACAAAAGGCTAAACAACAAATTCGATACGAATTGAAAGATATGAACACAAAGGAACTAGCCTTACATGCAATCGAAAAAATTAAAGAGATTGTGAACATAGCAAAGGATGATTGTTTTGACATGTATTTTTGCACAAGTTTGTGCACTTTTGGGTCACGTAAGATTGATTTCGGATGGGGTAGCCCCCTAAGAGTGACTCATGTGAAAGATCCAATGAAAAATAAATTTATTTTCATGGATGATCCAAGTGGTGAAGGAATAAATGTACTAATCACTTTGACTGAGGCTGATATGTTACTATTTGAGAGTAACAAAGAGCTTCTAGAGTTTGCTTCTCCCGTTGTCCAGTCACTAGAATAAGATAAAACTCCGGGATTCGGAGTCGTCTTTGTTAGGGAGCGCTTTACTCGCTAATATGGACTTTTCAGTGTGAATCTAAATTTAGTCGGACTCTACTGGGTAGGAAATAAGCCATAATGCATGTGTGTTTGTTTATTTATTTATTATTTTGAGAATATGTTATAATTGTATTTGTAAAACACTTGTTACATTTTTATGAATTGATTTTTTCGAATAAAACATCTGAACGTAAACATAAATTTAGTATTCGGAAGTTTTGAAATGCTTGTACTTCGAACTATATTTCATTTTGAATGAATTGTTATTTTCTTCTTCTTCTTGTTTTCTTTTTGAAAGATTTTTTTTTAATTAAATGGAGACAACACATAATTCCGATATTATTTACAATACAAGTTCTAGACTAAGATGTAACATACGGAATAAACAAATTCTCATCACACATGGCACAAGTATTAATCAAAATGGATCAATTCCACTTCTATGAGAGACGAGATCATAACAATAAATTACAAAATAAAATAAGTTATATACAAAGTCACAACCATGAGCTTAGATGTCAAAGGGTCTGCATTTTTTTAATCAAGCATTCACAAGAAAGTACTACTCAAAAATTAGGCCAAAATAGCAAGTATCACACCACTCAAAAGGGTCTTTTATTTTCTCTCAAAACAAAATTAAAAGAAAACTTATTTCTAAAAAAATAAAAGATATTCGGTTCAAAAGGATTATCCTAAGGAAAAGAACCGAAAATAAAAGCCAAGGAACTCATCCTAAAAAATAAAAGACTCAATAAAACAATACAAATTAGGAGTTCATTCCACCACCTCACATTTAAAAAGATGTCATGTCCCCAAAACATCAAATAAAATTTAAAAATGGGCTTAGGAAAACTCCCTGAAGCCTTTAGGCCTAGCTAGTAACAAGTTTACTTTATTTACATCAAGGGTCGTGACCCAGACTTAAGCTCAAACGTGCTTCTTAACTCCAAATATCGGATACTTAGACTTCTCCAAAACTTGTACAAACCACACAAAAAAATTACACTAAAAAATAAAATAAAAATTAAGAAGTTACACTCTAAATTGAGTTGCCTCCAATAATCGCCTAATTTAACGTTGTAACACGACACAAGTAAATTCACTACTTTCTTTCCACTTTGAACTTATGAATTGTACCCCTAACTTTGTATCAATTTTTCTGCTCCTGACTAGGGGCGATGGTATAAATACAAAGGAACCAAGTAATTCATGTCGCATCTTGCACTTCTTGGCCCTTAGCGGGAGAATGTCGTATTGTCTATGTGGACTAAAAAACTTTATTGATGAGAAATGGTTCAAAAATGATCTATTTACAAAGGTATATAGTACTTTTGTGAGGTAATAGAACGCTTACAAAGTTAAAGTGTCTTTTTATAAAATTAGGAACAACTTCTATTGTGATTTTATGTCTTTTCTTTTATATATATATATATATATATATATATATATATATATATATATATATATTATTGAAATCTTAATTTTTTTTTAATTCTTAACTGGTTGGGATTTCTTGTAGTGCTCTTCATGTCATCTTCAATTTGATAACATTACACTCAAAATAATTAATCGTGTGCCTAACGTACGGAAAAATTATTCAAAGTCAACTATTACCAATTCAACTCTAATAAAAATAAACTAATAGATAATTGAGGAGGACTAAAGAGTTAATGGAGAGGATTCGGATCTATTAATATTTCTATGTTTAAAATTAATATATCGAAAATTGTCGCAATACAGATTTGGAGTCAGGGGGTTCAAAAAATTAAACATAGTGCTTGCAAAATTAATTTGAGTTTCAAACCTCAAAGTGAATTTGAACGCAAACCACTAGTCAACCTTTGATCTTATATTTAGTAATTTAAAATCTATACAACAACATAAAATCGTAATTTTTAACCAAAACATTTTGGGTGAACCGCCCACACCTATCATGGACTAATCTCTCCTAATAGATAAGTCAACCCTTCTAATAATACATAAAAGTTAGGATAGATATAAAAGTACTCCAAAAGATAATACGACTTTCGAGATTATAATTCCAATCGCTTAGTTGTAAGGTGGAATTATCCATGTGCATTCCTTTATGAGACTTAAATTGAAATTTTCATATATTCTTTTTAGGCTCATATGTCCTAATTATTAGTTGAATAGTTTAATAATAATTATTTTTTGAATCACAATCTTTTCTAAATCTCGTAAGTTATTGATCATTATGATTTATAGAATCTCTATGATATGAGCTTTATTTTAAAATGAGATTAAAAAACTACATTAGAATATTAGTTAATTTGATTCTCTTAGCCTGAATCAAACCACATAAATTAAAATGATATTTTACTTTTATTAGACTATATATAAATATGAATGTGCAATTCAAATTAAAACATAGAGCTAAAAAAATGGCCTCATCAACAATTCTTTCAAGAAAAATCATTACACCTTCTCCCCCCACCCCTTCTTCACATAGACATTGCAATCTCTCATTTAGAGATCAAACAGCTAATACTCTATATTTACCAATTGCTGCCTTGTACTCTAAACCTGAAAATCATACCATAACTCAAATATCCAATATTCTTGAAAATTCCCTTTCAAAAATATTATACTTTTATTATCCCTTCGGGGGACGTATCAAGGATAATAAGTATGTTGATTGCAATGATATAGGCGCTGAGTATTTTAATGTTCATATCAATTGTCAAATGTCTGAAATACTTAGCAATCCGTATAATGATGCTATTGAGATAGTGTTCCCACAAAATATGGCTTGGGGTAATTCCTTATCAGAAGAAAGAAGTAGCCTTCTAGTGGTTCAATTGAGCCATTTTGATTGTGGTGGAGTGGGAATTAGTATATGTCTATCCCACAAGGTTGCTGATGGGTACAGCGCGTTTAAGTTCCTTGGTGATTGGATTTCTATGGCTAGAGACGATCATAAATTAAATTTCCAACCATCTCCTCAGTTTGATGGAGCTTTGTTCCTTCCACCAATAGATAATCCTCCACCTATGCCTAATGTTGTGCCTGACCCTCAACAATGTGTGTCAAGAATGTACAATTTGTCATCATCTACCTTGTCTAAACTCAAGGATAGTATTGTTTCAACAAATCCACAAATACAAAATCCATCTCGCATTGAAGTTGCCATGGCACTTATTCATAAGTGCGGGGTTGATGTGTCGATGTCAAAATCAGGCGTGTTTAGACCAACTATGTTATACCAGGTAATGAATTTACGCCCCCCTATTCCACTCAACACAATGGGAAATGCTACTTGTCTCTTTAGCACAATAGCAATGAGTATAGATAAAACAACGTTACCAAGCTATGTTGGTGAGTTACAAAAGGCTAAACAACAACTTCGACATAAATTGAAACAAATGGACACAAATCAACTAGCCTCACATGCAATTGAAAAACTTAAAGAGATTGTAAACATAGCAAATGAGGATGTATTTGACATATATTTTTGTACAAGTTTGTGCACTTTTGGGTCACATAAGATTGATTTTGGATGGGGTAGCCCCCTAAGAGTGACTCAAGTGAAACATCCAACTAAAAATAAATTTATGTTCCTGGATGATCCAAGTGGAGAAGGGATAAATGTACTAATCACTTTGACTGAGGCTGATATGTTACTATTTCAAAATAACAAAGAGCTTCTAGAGTTTGCTTCTCCCGTTGTCCAGTCACTAGAATAAGATAAAACTCCGGAATTCGGAGTCGTCTTTGTTAGGGAGCGCTTTACTCGCTAATATGGACTTTTCAGTGTGAATCTAAATTTAGTCGGACTCTACTGGGTGGGAAATAAGCCATAATGCATGTGTGTTTGTTTATTTATTTATTATTTTGAGAATATGTTATAATTGTATTTGTAGAACACTTGTTTATTTCAACTTACCTTTGCAATGTGTTACATTTTTATGAGTTAATGAATTTCTTTTGCGCCTATTGATACGATATTAATTTATAGTAAGTTAATGAATTTCTTTTGCGCGTATAAAAAACACAAAAAAAATGACACTAAAAATTAAAATAAAAAATAAGAAGTTATTCTATAAATTGGGTTGCCTCCCAATAAGCGTCTAATCTAACGTCGTGGCACGACATTAGTAAATTCACTATTTTTCTTTCCATTTTAAACTTATGAATTGTACTCTTAACTTTGTATCAATTTGTTTGCTCCTCTCTGGGGGTGGTAGTATAAAGATAAAGGAACCAAGTTATTTATGTCGCATCATGCACTTCTTGGCCCTTAGGTGAGGAATGTCGTTTTATCCGCGTAGACTAAAAAACTTTAGAATGTTGGAGCCTTATTCCTCATCTATACACTCATCCATTAGTTAAGATTTTTTATAGAAAAATGTTTTGAATGAGATTTAAGTTGCCTCAACTCCAGAGCAGCATTTTTTACAATATTCTCACTTGTGTACTCTTTATCAACATCGATTTTAAGGAATTATGTGTAGTTCAATAGTTGAAGTTCTTCTTTTTGCTCCATTAGGTGGTCATTATCCACGATAATTGGTTATTGGACATCAGATGCCTCAATCTTTTTGTTCAAGATAGTCTCCAAGTCATGAATATCTGAGCCAAATCGATATATTTCTTGTGTGAGCTCAACTCTTTCTTCAATTAGTTGGGTTTTCATGTGTGTCAGACAATCATGGATAGACTCTTGAAACTTTAGAAGTTGAGTTTGTTCTTGTAGCCAAGATTGACACAGTATTTCTATTTCTCCATAACTTTCTTCTTGTTAGGCTTCAATCTCTTCTAATTCAGCTTGGACTGTAATTTCTATTGAATTGCGTCCAGCACATTTAGCTGTTTCATGAACTTTATGTGCTCTTCCCCGCATTCAAATAATTGTTCGGTGATTTTTGAATCAACCTTGTCCAACATGTACATTTCATAAGTAATTCACATTGTGCACCTCTTGTTTTGCATTCTCCACTTCATCGCCCCTACCACCACATAAATAATAGAAGAATCATAATAGGGGTTCGAGGGAAGAGAATAAGATTTAGGACAACCATTTCAATGAAAATATTGATGATCACATATATGACATAAATGACATGCATCCCAATTGCACACGCAAGTGTACGTAGTTGCGCAAGTAATATAATGACTCTTAAAAGAATCAGATTATCGAACTCAATAGACTTGTCAATTAGCTATTCTTTTCTAAATTATACTATTCTAGTTATCTATTTAAGAGTGCCAAAAGAAAAGAATGCAGAAATTAAATAATAAGATTACTTACAATAGTTGAAAGATTCCAAGACTGCAACATGTATTGGCTGTCATGTATCATATTTTTGGTTTAAAACTAATTTTTTTTTGTCAAGTTACTAATTAACATGGTTAATTATATGAGTCGGGTTCACACCTCTAGTCCCCTACTACATTGTTGAGCGGGGATAAATAGACTAACTGGTGAGCATTTATATTTCATCATGTTTCGTAACCAAGCGAGTTGTTCGTCCGGGCGTCACTCCTGAGCACAAATCACCTCAACTTAATGGTTCGATCAAGCTCTCTATATTCTCTGGTCTATCTAATCCCTCCTCTCTCATTTTTAAGATTAGTCAATAGATTTATCTTATTTTGCAAAAGCATAAAATACTAAAATAAAAATATAGAAGAAACTTATAATGACAACCAAGAATTAATTCATAAACCTTATAAAACCAATGTTCAATCCGTAACAACAATCCCTAATCTCTAAGAAAACAAGAAGAAGAAAAAGAACCCTAAAAAGTATTGACAACTTCCTACGCCCTATAATTTGATCCCGAAATAATTATTTTTATGGACTATTTATAGAAATAAAATAACTGAGACAAAATCAATTGTAATTCCAAAATTGAACGGAATTCGACTTCCGTGCGCGAACCGCCTCAAAATTTGAGGGTGTCTGATGTGAATGACTCGTGGAAGCAACTAACTGCAATTCAATTTGAATTTTGCCGATCTTTTCCATATCTATAATATTAATATTATATTCAATTTAATCCCTTAAAGCTGACTGCTTTATTTCCTTATTAAACCTTTTATCTTTAATTCATTTTATCTTCGAACTTCTTCAACTTTACACTAATTTACTTTTACAAGTAAAATATACTATTTAGCGCAATCTATAAAATTCATACTTAAAAATATAAATATGAATAATAAATATGAGACAAATAATAATTAAAATATATATTTTTGACCTCATAATAATTAAAATAATAATGTTGTGCCTGACCCTCAACAATGTGTGTCAAGAATGTACAATTTGTCATCTTCGAGCTTGTCTAAACTCAAGGATCGTATTGTTTCAACAAATCCACAAATACAAAATCCATCTCGCATTGAAGTTGCCACAGCACTTATTCATAAGTGTGGGGTTGATGTGTCAATGGCAAAATCAGGCGCGTTTAGACCAACTGTGTTATTCCATGTAATGAATTTACGCCCTCCTATTCCATTCAACACAATAGGAAATGCTACTTGTTACTTTAGCACAAGAGCAATGAGTATAGATAAAACAACGTTACCAAACTATGTTGGTGAGTTACAAAAGGCTAAACAACAAATTCGATACGAATTGAAAGATATGAACACAAAGGAACTAGCCTTACATGCAATCGAAAAAATTAAAGAGATTGTAAACATAGCAAATGAGGATGTATTTGACATATATTTTTGTACAAGTTTGTGCACTTTTGGGTCACATAAGATTGATTTTGGATGGGGTAGCCCCCTAAGAGTGACTCAAGTGAAACATCCAACTAAAAATAAATTTATGTTCCTGGATGATCCAAGTGGAGAAGGGATAAATGTACTAATCACTTTGACTGAGGCTGATATGTTACTATTTCAAAATAACAAAGAGCTTCTAGAGTTTGCTTCTCCAGTTGTTGAGTCGTCTTTGTTAGGGAGCACTTTATCTCTCAACGTGGAACTTTCTGACGTGAAATCAAAATTATAATCGAACTCTAATATGAATACCAAACACAGGATGATAAACTAAAAAAAATAAGAGCTCTCTCATGACCAAGCCATAATGTGTATTTGTTTATTTTTTATTTTATTTTATTTATT